TTCCTCCCCGGGGCTCCTTATTTTCATCCTTAATTCAGTGTATTTTGGGCTTCTTTATTCCACCATCAGCCGGGTTTTCCTGGGCCTGGATGGGATGGAGCAGAACAGCCAGAATTCCAAAGGAATTCCAATGGAACTCCAGCAGGGCATGAAATGAACTCAAAATTATGCTATAATTTTAATTTCTTCTCTAAATCTGATCATATCTGCATCATCAAGCCATCTTCTCACAGTTCCCAATGTATAAAAATAGGATTTAAATGCTATTTTTACTCAAATGGAGGGGTGAACCTCCAAAGATCAAAATGCAAAGCAAAAGTGAGTTGCTGTGGCAGAAGCTGCCATTTTAATGGCCGTGGAATAATTTTAAATTTTTTCTTGGTTAAAGCATCCCTTTTTCTAACCATAATGAATAATTTTGGGATTTCTGGGGAGTTTAAAGCGTAATAAAATCCAAAATCTTCATTGGACTTGGCGTGAATTGTGCATGTATTTAATTGCTGACTCGCACAGGGAGAAGTGGCGGTGGTGACAACATTGCTGGTGCCAAAATCTGCCGCCGAGAGCGATTTTTTTGCGTTTCCTCATAATAAAAAATTAACGACACCGACCCCGCGCCCGCGGCCGCCTTTTCCCTCCAAAACCGCGCCGGGCCCGCGCGGCGAATCTGCGGCTCGGGCCTTGAGGCGCCGCAGCGCCGCGCAGAATTCCCGGAGAAACGGGAAAAAATTCCAGCGTGGCGCCGGTGCCGGGAGGACGCGGCGGGCGCGGCGGGAGCGGCGGGACGGGGCGCGGCGAGGCGGCGGCGGCACCGGGGGCCCGTGGCGAATCTGCCGCCGCCGCTCCGCCGCGTGCGGGCCGCGCCGCCCGCCCTCCCCGCGGGGACAGTGGGCGGGCCCTGCGCGCCGTGATGGTTCGAACGAGCCAATAGGGCGCGGGCTCTCGCGGGCTCCGGCCAATCGGAGGGTGAGGGGGGCGTGGCCGGCGGGGTCGGCGGCACCGCCCCCCCGCTCGCATCCTCTCGGCGGGGCGAGCGCGACCATTTTGCGGGGGGGAGCGGCGGGAGCGGGTCCGGCAGCGACACCGGGAAAGGCAGCGGGAGCGGGGAGCGGCACCGGGATCGGCGCCGGGAGCGGCACCGGGGAGCGGCACCGGCGGCGGCGCCTGACGGGGGAGCGGCGGCTCCGCAGGCGCGGCCTGAGGCGCTGGGCCCAGCGCTCCCGCTCGCTCCGGGCGGCCTCCGCGGCCTCCGCGGCCCCGTTTGCTCCGCGCCCGGCCCCGCGCGGCCCGCAGCGCCGGGAAGATGTCGCGGCCCGTCAGGTGAGTCCCGCCGCCGCCGCCGCCGCCGGGCCGGCCCGGGCAGCGCAGGCCGCGCTCAGGCCGTGCGGATTTCTCCTCTATTTCCCCTTGTTTCCCCCCTGCTCACTTGGCACGGCCACCGCGGCCGGCACCGCGCTTCCCCCCGCGGGCCGCGCCGGGGTGGGCGCGCTGCCGCTGCCCCGCGTTTCCTAACGGGGAACACCGGGGGTTTTGGCCGCCGCCGCGACCCACTTGGCGCGGGGCGGGCGCTGCCGGGGCCGCCATCCGCGGGCCCCCGCGGGCGGCGGGGCCGGGCGGAGCGCGCTGCCGGGGGAGGGGAGCGGGGCCATCCGGCGAGGGTCCGGGGCACGGGGGCTGTGCATGGGGAACCACGCGGAGGGGAGGAGCCGGCGGGAGCCGCCCCCTCGCTGCGAGCGCCGCCGCACGCCCCGCTCCGCCCGGCCGCGCTCCGGGCTCGCCTGCCCGCCGCTGTTCGCCGCCGCGGTTGCCCTCTCCGAGCCCCCGGCAGCCGGGTGGGTCTGGGGTCGGCGCTTTGGTGTCGGTGGGATGGAGCGTGGTGGGTTTGGGAGTGTGCGGCACCGCGAAGTGGTGCCCCAGGGAAAGGCTGGAGCTGTGTCAGGGTGGGGGTTTGGGATGTTTCTTCGCCCAGAGGGTGCTGGGCACTGCCCAGGCTCGCCAGGGAATGGGCACGGCCGCAGAGCTCCAGGAGAGTTTGGGCAGCGCTGCCGGGCATGCCCGGGGTGGGATTTTGCAGGGCCCGGAGCTGCGCTGGATGATCCTTGAGAGTTCAGTCCAGCTCAGGATATTTTGATTCCCTTGTGTCTGTCAAAGCTTTGCCAAAGAGGTGGCAAAAGAGCGAACTCGTGATTGAAGTTGTCTTTATAGCAAAGGTATGAAGTTTCCCACGGTGTTCTTCTCTTGCTTTGTAATTCCTTCATTCTCAAATGGCTGGCTGGAGTTTTATTCCCAGTTGGAGTTTTATTCCCAGTTGGAGTTTTATTCCCAGTTGGAGTTTTATTCCCAGTTGGAGTGAGTTTTATTCCCAGTGAGCCTGGCATGGGCTGTGGATGTTGGGTGTTTTGGCTAATTTAACTAAAAAGTACAAATTAATTGTGACAGCGATGCATCTATACACTTAGAGATGACAGCATTTGCATTTGAGTAATAGTTCTCATAATGCGGAATTTAAAATCTAAATGGAACCCAGGACTGCTTTGCTGAGTAGGGGAGTGGCTCAATGAAGGGTGAGCTCCCAAATTAGTGGTGATGTGTCTCTGCTGCCTGAGGGGACGCTTCAGTGTTGGAGATTTGTTCCAGGTAAGGAAAGGCTGCTGTCTTTAAAAGCAGAGCCTCCGAGCTTGCTGGAATTAAGTATTTTTGCGAGGATTTAAAAAAATAATTAAAATAAAACACCTCTGTCCAGTCCTGGAGCATTGTGAGAGGTCTGACTGCTCTCAGCCTCAGCTCTGCAGGAAAAATGAAGCACCAAAGTCCAGCAGGTTGTTTAGAGCACAAAACCTCCTGGCACGTGGCAGGATAGATGCAGCAGTCCCTTATCTCCCTGGATTTAATAGCCCTCCCAGGGGAAAAAAGGTAAATATTCACTGGCTGCTACATTATATTGCTCTGCTAGCTAGAAAACTCTGCCTGTAGATTGAAATCCATTCATGAATTAATGCTGGAATGAACTTTTTTCTGCCTGTCTTTGCTGGTTTTTGGTAAAATGGAAGCCTGGTGCAAGGTTCTTCATCAGAGGAAGATTTAGTGGTGGGAGAGTTTTTCTCTAGTCCGTGTTCTTTGAATTAACTGGTGATGTCTGCTGGTTTCTGGTGAATATGTGTGCACCTAAAGCAGTGAACTTCATAAAATCCATCCTATATCCCAAGTTTTTACTCCACTTGTTGAGAAAATTGACCTGTGGCTGAGTCTGGCTGTTAATATCAGTTATTTAAAACTAAGTAGTAATAAAATCCTGCCTATTTACAGGCTTCTTGTGCCTGGCACTGAGAGCCAGGTACTTCCTGCACAGTTCATTTCTCCTGGGTGGATAATGATGGGTTTTCAGTGTTGTTAGAAAAAGGCAAGGAGTAAAAACTGAAAGAACCTGAAATTACTGAATTTCTGCATCTCTTGTGTTCTGCAAAGAGAGCTGGGGCTGCTTATAGGGATAAAACAAAACAAAATTAAATACTTGGAGTCACTGTGTTTTTCTATATACAGCATCAATTAATGTGTTTAAAGTCAGAATTTTGCCTTCTGCTACAGCCTTTCTTCTGCTGTTTCTCACTGGTCACTTTTACTGGTCATCTCCTGCAGGCTTTGCAGATTGAGATGTTGTGGGCAGGGGTGGAAATCCCAGGGTTTTTTTGGTCATTCATTTCAAGCTTAAAACCACTTAGGAATTTATCTCAGTGCTTCAAGGCTTTACATCCTTCATTTTTCTGGATTGGAATCCCAGCCTGCTGTTGGCACTGCAGTGGAAGGGTGAAGTTTTACTTGGAGAAAAAAATATATCTTTAAAAGATAACTTGCTGCCAGTGTTGTCACTGGGCAGTGTAAAGTAGAAATATTGTGATTGTAGAAAAGTTCCTGTGGGATTGCAGGCAAGCAACAGTTCCTTGGGGATTGGCACTTAATAAAATGGAGTGATGCTGTGTGGTCCAGGGATGGATGAGTAAAAAGCTGATTCTTGCTCTGTTTCAGGCTGAAGAGAAACAGAGGGAAGGTGGAGGTACAAAAAAATTCAAAATATCAGGGTGGGGGAGTGAGCTGGGTGTTTGGGTTTGGTTCCCCTCCTGCTCTGCATCATTTCTGTAGTAAAATCTCAATTCTAATTAGAGTCAAATAGAGAATGAGCACAAGACTGCTTTAATTATTGCTGCAGAAATCATAGAATTGTTTTTTCCACCTTGACCCTTCAGAGAAACATTAAATCAGGAATTGGGAATGTGACAGTGGCATGAACAAAAATTGTCACTGTGGCAAAAATCCTGGAACAAAACCCTCCCTTCCCCAGGCACATCCCCTGGGTCACTCCCTCCCGGTCAGAGCGGGACAAAATTCCACTTTAGGGACACAATTACTGGCAATTCTTGATTTACATTCCTATTCCAACAAGGAGCCCTCCTGAACATTGCCTCCTGACCCATCTCATGAGTGAAAAGATGAATTTTATTCTCATAATCATCAGAAGAATAATTAAATTATTAAATAAGGAATCTGATTTTATGTATCAAGTATTGGGTTTTTTCCCTATGAAAGAATAAGTGAGGTGAAAAAAGCAGAGTTCCCACATACAAACAAGACTTTTAGACGTTACTGAGCTACTGAACAAGATGGAAATGGCAGTTTTTTCCACCTTGATTCTTCAGAGAGCATAAAATCAGGAATTGGGACACAATTATTGGCAATTTTTGATTTAAATTCCATTCCAGCAGGGAGCGTTCCTGGGCGTTGCTTCCTGATCCATCTCATGATGGGTCAACACGAATTTTGTTCTCATAAACATCAGAATAATGAAGTTATTAAATAAGAAATCTGATTTTATGTGGAGTTCAGAGTTGTTTGGATCCCTGAAAATCCTGCAGGTGCCACGAGCAGAGCCTGACGTGGGGAGTCAGCCCAGACCCAAATCTGAGCTCTGTAGTGGGCATTTAATTATTTTAATTTAATTTATTAGTGAGCAGCAAATTGTTTTGTGGCGTTCAGAGTTGTGTGGATCCCTGAAAATCCTGCAGGTGCCACTCGCCTCTCAGTGGTGGGTGCCAAGTCCAATTTTTACCCAAATTTTGGGTCCCTGATTGTCACCAGGTGCCCTGTGCCACCTCCTGGTGGTGATTTTAAATCAATGTTCATGGAAAACCCAAACCCAGCACTGCAGATTTGCTTTGCCCAGCTCTAAAAATCCCTGCAGGAAACACTTGGGGCTGGAATTTGTATTTTTTTGTGTATAAAAAAGGCACCAAAAAGTGCTTTTAGTGGCAATATTTGCTGATGATAATGATCTTGCCTTTACCTGAGAGTGAAACCTGACTGCTGAGGAGGGGCTGGAGCTTTGCTCACAAATTCTGAGAATTTTTGGCTACATTGGTTAAATCAAGGCTGTACTGAAAAAAAAATAAATACAAAAAACCTCAATAATCATTTCATCTCCTTGCCTTTGCTCTGTTGGATTGAGGGTGGGTGTTTGTATGCAAACATTCTCTTAATTTTGGATTTTTGATTACTCCTTTTAGCATTGCCTTGCAGGATTATATGTTGTGGATTTTTTTTTTTTAAATGTGGATTTCATCTGTGGGTTTTAATGTCTGTACAAATATCTGGGAATCTGTGCATTCCCTTAAAAATTCCCTTAAAAAAAAACAAAAAAAAAAACCACAAAAAAACCCCAAACAAATAAAAAAACCCCACTGATTTTTCTACCTGATTGTAGGGCTGTGCTGATGTTGATTTAAAAACTGAGGGTTTAGGGATTAAACTGAAAATTAAGTATGAGAATGACATTCTTTTTCTCAATTTTATGGGCATTTTGTGATTTTTTTTTTGACATATTGATGTTGTTTTTCATAATTCCAAAATTGCACTTTGGCAGGCATCAAGAGCAGTTTGCAAGAATTTCTGTGCATTTCTGAGCTGTAATTAAATTACTGAAGTAATTTCACTGAGTGCTTCAATCTCAACATGTTGATGAGCTCCTGTTTATTCCAAAAATAAACAGGAATGTTAATATTGACATATTGACATATAACAGGAATGTTAATATCCAATAAATTGGACTGACAGCTGTTACTAAAAACTGATCTCTGAAGGATCAAGGTGGAAAAACTTCCATCTTGTTTGTATCTCAGTGATGTCTAAAAATGTTGTTTATATGTGGAAATTCTGCTTTTTTCACCCCATTTATGCTTTCATAGGAATAAACTCCAATATTGATACATAAAATCAGATTTCTTATTTAATAATTTAATTATTCTGATGATTATGAGAATAAAATTGATGTTGACCCATCATGAGATGGGTCAGGAGGCAACGTTCAGGAAGGCTCCTTGTTGGAATAGGAATGTAAATCAAAAATTGCCAATAATTGTGTCCCTAAAGTGGAATTTTGCCACACGCAGACCAGGAGGGAGTGACCAGTGCACGGTGCTGTTGGATTGGCTTGGATGGGATTCAACCTGTACAAATCTTCTCTTCATTTGTCTTTTTTGGGCTGTTTTTTGGGGGGATTGGTTTCATTTTTTGGTTTTTAAATTTCTTCAAGAGCCTTGGGTTGAAATAAAACCAAATTTGCTCCTGCATCCTTCTGTAAGCCATGAGTTAGAGCTTCTCAGAAGGGCAACTTAAACTTAAACTTGATTCACCTGTACAAATCTTGTCTTACTTTTTGGTATTTTTGTGAATGTTTTTGAGGGATTGGTTTCATTTTTTGGTTTTTAAATTTCTTCAAGAATGTTGGGTTGAAATAAAACCAGTTTTGCTCCTGCATCCTTCTGTAAGCCATGAGTTAGAGGTGCTTGTACAGGACAACAACTTATTAATTTTATTTGCCTTATTGGTATTTTTTGGGTGTTTTTTGAGGGATTGGTTTCATTTTTTTGTTTTTAAATTTCTTTAAGAGCTTTGAGTTGAAATAAAATTAATTTTGCTCCTGCATCCTTCTGTAAGCCATGAGTTAGAGCTGCTCAGAAGGGCAACTTAAACTTGATTTTAGATGGCTCAGCAGTGATGGCTTTGAGGTGTCTTTGAACTGGCTGAGTTAATCAGCAATTAATTAATGATAATTAATGAACTGCCAGTGAATGCAGCTGAGTTTGGGGAGCTCAGTGTGAATTGTGCTGTGAGCAGGGGAAGGGAAGGAGGATGAGGAAGGATCCGTGTGCTGGGTGGAGTTTCCAGCTGAAGAGCTGAGCTCACGTGGCGATTGCTGCAAAATCCCATTTTTCCTTGGCTCTGTGGGAATCTCTGTATTTCCAGCTCCTCCCAGCCCCATCAGTCCTTCCAGGAGGGGTTTGGAGTCTGAGTTTGAGGCATTTTCAGCTGAAATTTCATTGAATTTTTGGCTGTCTGGGTTTCCTTTGGTCGCTGTTTTATATGGCAGTTATCTTTTCAATAAAAGAGCTGAGATCTGATATCTTGTCAATAAAAGGGTTGGGATTTGATATCAATAAAGCAGCTGGGATTTGATATCTTGTCAATAAAAGAGCTGGGATTTGATATCAATAAAAGGGTCGGAATTTGATATCAGTAAAATAGAGTTGTGATTTGATATCTTGTCAATAAAACAGTTGGAATTTGATGTCAATAAAACAGCTGGGATTTGATACCTTGTCAGTAAAAGAATTGGGAATTGATATCTTGTCAATAAAACAGTTGGGATTTGATATCTTGTCAATAGATCAGCTGGGATTTAATGGACAAGGTGCTGATAAAATAACCAACAATTCCATTTTGGTGGTTTCAGTAAGTTCAAGAAGATTATTTGATTTTGTTGACTTCCAGATCAGTGTAGCTCATTCAAAAAGCTCCTGGAAACTCCAGTGAAAACTTCAAATGCTTTAAAAACAGGGATCGTATGGGAAAATAAAAATTGGAGGAGAAGGTGTGACAGCAGGCGAGCTGTGAGAAGCAGAAATTCCAAAGGGAGCAGTTTAGAAATTTTTGATTTATAATCTTCGTGTATTTATCAAAAAGAACGTTCACATTCTGAGACTGCAATCCAGATTATTATAAAATCTCCTCAGGAAAATGCTATTTAATGTACTTTGTGTTCACTTCTGACTGCAGAGGTGGAGGTGGCTGAATTATCCAAGTTTTCTTGGGATGTTTTTGGGCTACAAATGCAGCACTGGAAACAAGGATGGGACATTTCTTGTTCCTTAAAGCTTTAGTAGCTCTGAAGTGATGAATTCCTGATTTTTTTCTTCTGCTTTTTCACAGGAACAGGAAGGTGGTCGATTACTCCCAGTTTCAGGAATCAGATGATGCTGGTAAATGACTTTTTTTCCTTAATCTCCTTGGGCTGGAGCAGCTCGTTATTGCCATGCATATTAATTGTTCTGCTTCTAATCACATCTTCAACTCCAGTTCCAAGGAGTTTGTGTTCTTCACAGCCTGAACTGTTAATAAGTATTTGAAAATATAATCATTCTCATATGTTTGGTATTAAACAAACAATGGTGCTCGAAATCTTATTATTTAATGCTGGTATTGTTGTAGTGCCTGGAGGCTGTTGGCAGCAATGCTTTCCTTGCTCTGTGTTATGTTCTGGGGCAGAGGCTCCTTGATGCCACTTTTTCCACAGGAAAAGATGTTTTCCATTTATTTTATGACTCTAGTTGAGCCCACATTATCAAGCATTTGAGGGGGATTGCAGCTAAAAAAAATATCACCAGTGTGAATTAACAAATAAGTGCTGGATCACATTTGGAAGAAATGTAATCTCTGAATTAAAAGTCTGGATCCCATTTCTAAAAAAAAGATATATATAATCTGCAAATTAACAGAAATTTTCTGGAATATATTTTGAGTTCTTGGAGGATAAACTCAATGCTAAGGTTGCACTGATAATTAAAATGAGACAAATATTCACAATTCTTAATTATAGTGGTTTTATTAATGAAAAAAGGTATTGTGTAATAGTTGTAAGGAGTTCTACTGAAAACTTCCGTTTAATAACATCCTTTATCCCATGACAGGGCAGTGCTGTTAGAATCATGCAGAAATACATATGGATGTTAATTTTTAATAAGTTTAATCATAACAAAATGTAAAATAAATCCTGCGTCCTCTTGGTGAGGTTTTTTTGTGTTTCCCTGGGTAGAAACTTCACTGTACAGAACATTTTCATGGTGCTCAAATCAAAGCTCAAATCAATGGTTTCAGCCAGGACTTTGCTTCCACCAAAGTTGTTTTGAAGTTTTTCTTTTTGATGAGCATGAAATGCTCAGTTTGAGTTGTGGCTGAGGAGAGCAGTTGGCTGGGAATGAGTTTGATCCCAAAACTTTTTGTCCTGTCCAGATGATGATTATGGAAGAGATTCAGGTCCCCCATCCAAGAAAATCCGTTCATCTCCCCGAGAGGCTAAAAACAAGAGGAGATCTGGGAAGAATTCTCAGGAGGACAGGTAACAACAA